AATCGTCAAGGTGCTAGGGAAAACTTTCCTGTTTCCCATCTTGTCACGGCGACTGGAATACCTATGGGCCAAATGTGGTAGCATCCAGATAACGAGTCTATCGTTTGGCTTCTATGCAGTTAGATTCGCAAATCAGATGGACTACGAGCAAGCAGCGGTGGGTGGGCCATACATGATAGGCGAGTAATACCTTACTGTACGCCCATGGCGGAAGAACTTTGACCCTAAGACAGCTGAAGTTGCTAGAACTATGGTGTGGGCTCGACTACCAGCCCTCCCGGTTGAATTTTTCAACGAGGAAGCGGTTGAGCGTATCGCTACGCGCATCGGAAAACCAATCAGGGTGGACCGTGCAACCAAAGAGTGTGCTATCGGTTGATTTGCAATAGTCAGCGTTGAGGTTGACTTAACAAAGCCCCTACTCTCGCAATACAAAATCGAAGGGAAAACTTACTACATTGAGTTTGAAGGGCTCCATACGATTTGTTCATAATGCGGCTAGTATGGCCACTCAAGCAAGACTTACCCATCACTCGCAAGGCCATCATCACCCATGGTAGAAGAACCCACAGTTGTGAAAACGACTGAGATATCCAACCCCCTATATGGTGACTGGATGATAGCCAAGTCCAAGGGAAGAAACAATAAGAAGCAGGTCAACTCTGCGGAGAGAAGTAAGAATTCCAAACCACGGCCAGATGACGAGTCTGTGAAAATCTTAGCAAAAAAGACTAGTTCGGGTTCGGGATCAAGGTTTGAAGGCTTAGCAACGGAGGAAGCCGAGGAAGAACCGGCGGAAGAAACAGTAGCACCAACCAGAAAATCAAGTGACATGGAAACAGGAGGGTCGCCAGATGAGGAAGTCAGCACACATCCCCTGCCTTCGGATTCTCAAACGGTAGTGGATCCACCACAACATACGAGACTTGTTGATGTCCCTGTCAAGCAGGGGACGACACTGATGAACAAATCCCAGAATGTCAAAGTGGTTGCTAGCAATGCCAGCCACACCAACAAAGGTGTTGCTAAGAAAGGCCAACTCAAAGCCTCTGCAGACCAGAAAATTCCGAAAAAGAATGGAAAGAGTACGACTCCGTCAGAGAAACGTTCGAACCAAACTGACATTGAGCCTGAAGGAAAAGAAAATAGAAAGGATCCAACTCAACTCGGGGTGAAGCAGCCCACCACTACTTCTCCACCTGGTAATCATGGCACTACTCCGATGGGGGAGGGGGGTCTTAGAACCCCAAATATCGGCTCTTGATTGTCAGCTTAGCTGACGGCGGGGTTAGTTTCACCTTCTAACACTTTCCCCATGTTAAGTGTTCTTGCGTGGAACTGCCAGGGGGCATGTAAGGATGTGTTTTTATGTACTTTGGAGTCTTTCTACAGGCCTTCTAGGACGGATATTCTGATTATTATCGAGCCAAAAATTAGTGGTGACGCTACAGAGCGGGTCATCGCTAGAATGGGCTTCGGCGGTGTTTTGGTGACGGAAGCTGTTGGCATCTGGGTTCTCTGGCAATAGCGAGATTTTAAAATTTCCCCCATCTCTGTGTGGGAACAAATGATCCACTTTCACTGTGAGAGAAGGGATGATCCCAACCAGGCAGTCCTGATCTCTGCGTGTTATGGTAGCCCAACTGCGGCGAGACGGGCAGACTTGTGGTCCGAGATCTATAGACTGGCTAAAAACATAAAGCTACTGTGGCTCCTTGCCGGGGACTTCAACTCAGTCCTAGGCCCCAGAGATCGCACAGGGGGAGCTGACTATAATGACTCTCGTAGCAGGGCTTTCAGGAATTGTGTCGAGGGATCTGATTTGCTTGACGTGGGTTTCTCCGGGCCTCGATTTACTTGGTGTCGGGGGCTACTTCAACAAAGACTTGATTGGGCCCTGTGTAATAGAAACTGGATGCTAAAATTTCCGAAAACCACTAATACCCACCTGGAGAGGATTGGGTCGGATCACAGGCCCATCTTTATTCAAGCGGAGGGGGTGACCAACAGCTGCAAAGTTCCTCGACCTTATCGTTTTCAGGCTGAATGGATATCTCACGAGGACTTCCACCGAGTCATGGAGGAAAATTGGAACCAATCGGGGAATCTACCATCCTCACTGGGTAAGTTAACCAGTGCTCTGCAGGAATGGAACCGGAGGGTCTTTGGGCATATCCTACAACGGAAGCGGCGACTAGCGCGTCGACTACGAAAAATTGAAGTGTTTAACGAGCTGTCCCCCACTGAGGAGTCGCGCCGAGACGAAGAGGAAACCCGGCGAGAGCTGGAGTTAACGCTATGGCAAGAGCAAGTCTTTTGGCTCCAAAAATCCAGAGCTTCCTGGCTTGTGGAAGGGGATCGTAATACAAGATTCTTCCATATGTCGACCCTTAAACGTCGGCGCTTTAATCGTATTCTGGGGTTGAAGAACAACGAGGGCCACTGGGTTTTTGATGAGAATGAATTGCGAGGTATGGCTGTGTCCTTTTTCAAAGTTCTTTACCAGGCTGAATTGGGAGTCTTGCCATGGCTTCCCAAGGGCTTCATAGCCTTGTCGGCTTCCACCTGTGCCAGTCTTGAGCGGCCCATAGCTAGAGATGAGATCATTGAAGCAATCAAATCCATGGGGAACTTAAAAGCTCCGGGGAAGGATGGCTATCAGCCGATTTTCTACAAGCACTGTTGGGATAAAGTGGGGGATAGCCTTGTCAATTTCGTGGAGGAATGCTTCAGGCAACCTGAAATCATTTCCCAGGTAAATGAAACCTTACTTGTCCTTATTCCCCAAAAAGAAGCTCCTGAATCCCTTCTCCAGTTTCGACCTATTGGATTATGCAATGTGACTTACAAAACTTTGGCGAAGTGCTTGGTAAACCGGATCAAACCCTTGATGGGGAGTCTGGTTCATTCGACGCAAACAAGTTTTGTACCTGGCAGGCATATATCGAACAATATAATCATCGTGCAAGAAGTAGTCCACTCCATGGGACTAAAGAAGGGTAGAAAAGGGCAAATGGCTTTGAAGATCGACCTAACTAAGGCTTATGACAGATTGAGTTGGAGTTTTGTCAAGGAGGTGATCACTGAGATAGGATTTCCAACGAAACTGATTGACGCTATTATGGCCTGTATTACCTCTCCAACATTGCAGGTCCTCTGGAATGGGAAAAATACTGAAGAGTTCAAACCATCAAGAGGTCTAAGGCAGGGATGCCCGTTATCACCTTACCTCTTCACTCTTTGTCTGGAGAAGCTCAGTCATCTCATCCGGGAATCCATCGATCAGAGAAAGTGGAAACCTATCCGTCTTAATCCTGGAGGACCACTACTCTCTCATGTTTTTTTCGCAGATGACCTGATTCTATTTGCCGAAGCAAGCGCCGATCAAGCTACAGTGGTCATGGACTGTCTAGACACTTTCTGTCAAGCTTCGGGGCAACTTGTCAACAGGGAAAAATCGGTGGTCTTTTTCTCAAAGAACACCAATCGCACCACCAGTTCCAGCACAGCAAGCATACTCGGAATGCCAGCTACCCAGGACCTTGGAAGATATCTAGGTGTCCCGGTGCTGCATGGAAGAGTTACGAAGGACACTTATCGCTACATTCTGGACAGAATAAATTCTAAGCTTTCGGGATGAAAGCTAGGAGCTTGACTCTTGCAGGAAGGGTGACCCTAGCCACTTCAGTTTTATGCTCTCTACCGACTTATGCTATGCAGACAACGCTCTTACCTATCTCCATTTGCGATGAAGTTGACAAGTGAGTTAGAGGTTTTATTTGGGGTTCCACCCCAGAAGCAAGGAAACTTCACCTGGTTCATTGGGAAGGAATTTGTAAGAAAAAGGAAGACGGTGGACTGGCACTTCGGAAAGCTCACGAGCTCAACCTAGCTTATCTCACAAAGCTGAACTGGCGCTTCCTGAAGAACCCAGATGAGATATGGGTTCAAGTTTTGCAATCAAAATATTTCAAAATGAGGGAGGGTAACCTGAGGGCTAAAACATCGGTAAGACAGTCAAACCTTTGGCGGGGAATGCAGCGCACATGGCCTATAATGACAGCAGGCATGGAAATGGCCATCAAGGATGATAAGTCTACTTCCTTTATGACAGACCGATGGATTGGCACTGGAGAATGCCTTGATGATCATGCTTTACCCCACATGGATGAACTGGATGATGATCAATGCGTGGCAAGTTTCGTTCAATCTAATGGGGAATAGGACTTGGAGAGGATGAGAAATTTTCTACCGGAAGAGATGGTGCTTAGAGTTGCGGGTGTTCAACCACCCTGCCCTGAGGCAGGAGAGGATCTCCCAATTTGGGGACCTGAAGCGGATGGAAGGTTTAGGATTCGCACGGCCTATGATATTGCTGCCAGTTATGAGGTGGACCATCGACAGGGAGATGGGAAGTTTATTTGGAAATGGCAGGGGCCTCCCAAAATCTGCTTCTTTATTTGGCTAGCTATTAAAGGCAGGCTCCTCACCAACTCCGAGAGGCAACGTAGACACCTCTCCAGCTCGGACAAGTGCAACAAATGTGAAAATCAGGTCGAATCGGTGTTACATGTTCTGAGGGATTGTGAACTTGCAAGAGAAGTCTGGCGTACCATCATTGAGCCGGAAAACCATTCTTCATTCTTTGCTGCAGATTGCAAGAAGTGGTTGGTGGATAATCTCAACAACTCCGAATTCAGCTTGCGATTTGGTGCGACCTGCTGGGCTCTTTGGAAGGCTCGCAATGAGCGCGTTTTTAAGGGTAAGTCAACGACGAAGGATGGCTTCATGAGACGGATCAACGAATGGCTCGTGATTATCAAAAGTGCTATGGAAAAGGATCAGGCCCTGCATCACACACCCACCCCATCGAGACAGGTAGCTGAGATAGCATGGACCCCCCCCCCCCCCGCCTCAACACTGGATCGCTATCAATTGTGACGGGTCGGTTCTGCAGAATTCAGGTAGCGCGTCTGCAGGAGGCTTACTGAGAGACCGTGATGGTCGTTGCCTGGGGGCTTTCGCATGCAATCTGGGAATCTATTCTATCACAACTGCTGAACTTCGAGGAGCTGTTCTGGGGCTACAAGCGGCTTGGAATGAGGGATACCGTTAAGTGCAACTCCAACTAGACTCACAAGTTGCAGTCAAACTACTACAGGAAAAGGACAACAGAGACCATGCCCAAGTCGGGGTGATGAGCAGAGCACAAGAGCTGCTGTTGAAGCAATGGGAAGTTGAGATTCATCACATCTACAGGGAAGGAAACAAATGTGCTGATTTTTTGGCCAACCTGGGGCATACCCTTGATATTGGTATCCACTGTATCCCGATCGATCATAGTGAACTGAACAATTTGATCTTGTACGACAGGCAGGGCCTTTCAGAGCCCAGGAATATTATAATAAACTGATAGGGAGCGTGGCCTTCCTTTGATAAAAAAAAAAACAGTACAAGGTTTATAAACCGGTTAAAACATATCACAAAATACAACGTTGTTATCAAACTTGCCTAAAAAAAACTTCTTTCATTTCCTGAAACCTTAAAATGTATATATGGATATCCAAGTCTTCCGCCCCTTAGGACATGACTCAGGGAAAGAGCAAAGACAACCTATCTTTCTACAACCGTCGAGCCGTTATTCTTCTTGATCATGACGAATCAAGTGATTTAATGTGGAAAAAATTCAAAAGTACCACTGTTTAGCAAAAAATTTCCAAAAATACCACCCAACCCCAAAAAATTCCAAAAATACCACCCTTTTTCAAAAACCGCCACCCCACCCAGCGGTTTGGTCGAAAACCGCTTGTCGGGGGCGCGGTTTTGGACCAAACCCCGGGCCTGGGGGCGGTTATAAAAAAAAAAAAAAATTGGACCAAAACCGCTGGGTGGGGTGGCGGTTTGGCCCAAAACCGCCACCCCAACCAGCGGTTTGGTCCAAAAGTTCGGTCGAAACTTCGAACGAACGTAACTTTTCACTCGGGTATCCGATCATAGCGATTGTTTTTTTCATTTCGCATAACTTTTCAAGATCTACAACTTTTACTAGGATGAAATTTTCAAAACAGGAACTATTTGTGGATATACGGGACCTTGAGAATAACTTTACCTTTACTTTTCAGAAATCCATGTACATTTTGAAATTATGATTATATTAAAAGTTGTAGATCTTGAAAAGTTATGCGGAATCAAAAAAAAGTTCATAACATTCGGAGTTTGGAGCACAAAGTTATGGCCGCCCAAAGTTTGACGAAAGGCGAGACCCGGCGGTTTGCGGCCTCCATTTTTTGAATCCGAATCACTTTTTGAGATCTTGCAAGTCTCAAACAGTCGGGTTCCGTCTTCGTCTCGAAAAAACGTCATTTGCCACCCCGAACGGCATTTTTTTTTATTTCGTCAAACTTTGGGCGGCCACAACTTTGTGCTCCAAAATCCGAATGTCATGAATTTTTTTTTTATTCCGCATAACTTTTCAAGATCTACAACTTTTAATATAATCATAATTTCAAAATGCACATGTATTTCTGAAAAGTAAAGGTAAAGTTATTCTCAAGGTCCCGTATATCCACAAATAGTTCCTGTTTTGAAAATTTCATCCTAGTAAAAGTTGTAGATCTTGAAAAGTTATGCGAAATGAAAAAAAGAATCGCTACGATCGGATACCCGAGTGCAAAGTTACGTTCGTTTGAAGTTTCGACCGAATTTTTGGGACAAACCGCCACCCCACCCAGCGGTTTTGGTCCAAATTTTTTTTTTTTATAACCGCCCCCTAGGCCCGCGGTTTGGTCCAAAACCGCGCCCCCGACAAGCGGTTTTCGACCAAACCGCTGGGTGGAGTGGCGGTTTTTGAAAAAGGGTGGTATTTTTGGAATTTTTTGGGATTGAGTGGTATTTTTGGAATTTTTTTTTAAACAGTGGTACTTTTGGATTTTTTCCATTTAATGTAGGCATCTATCTTTCCTTTGTCCCCCCATATTTTCCTTATCAATAGAGATTACTCCCGATCTAAATCACCCTTTCTTCATTCATAGGGCAGCAGATAGGGTCAGTAACCATTGGTTACTGACCTATCAGTATTAAATCCGGACCGTAGATCTAGGGATGGCATTATTATATTGTTGGGCTGCACGTGGAGTGAGGAGGGGCATTTTTGTCCGATTTTTGAAATTTGATTTCTTTCCTTTTTTTTTATTTTTTCCAGCATTTATATGTGTTGTCTTTTAATGGAGGAAAGAGAAAAAGCAGACGTTTCTCTTCCTCTCTCTTTTCTCTTTCTTCCTTTCTCTCTTCCAAAATTCTTTTTCCAGATCTAAATCTCATTTCTTCTCTTGTTCTTCATTTTTTTCTCCAACAATCGATGAATAAATTGCAGCCTCCCACTTCAAATTCGGTGAGGCTCCAAATCCTTCTACTCTCAAGCTGCTCCTTCCTTCTGTTTTTTTCTTTTATCGGCCTCAAAATCGATGATGCTCCATATTGTCAAAGAGGGGACAGATCTAGGTGAGTTGAGTTTGCATCTTTTGTGTTTTAGTATTTGTTTGTGAATTAATTCCGATCTTCTTCCTCTTTTTCTTTCTTTTTGCATTCAGTGTTCTTCATTGCGGAGGAGTAAATGACAGGAGACAGAAGACAAGTTTTTTTTCCTCTTCCTCCTTCTGTTTCCCCTTCTTTGAGAATATATATTGAGATTACCACACTATACCATATGGTAATGTGTCGATACCATATGGTATTGACACATTACCATATGGTAATGTGTATATACCACACTATACCATATGGTAATTTGTATATACCATATGGTAATGTGTATATACCATATGGTAAAGTGTCTATACCATATGGTAAAGTGTATATACCATATGGTAATGTGTCTATACCATATGGTAAAATGTATACCATATGGTAAAGTGTGGTAACGAAATGTATTTTTATGGATATCGTGTTTTACTATGGTCGTAAAAGGGTTGTAATTAGATTTATATTATTTTTATATGGTTTTAACTTCTCATACCATGTGGTATTGTATGGTAATTACAATTAATTTGTGTTCATTCGATTAACCATGCTCTACTATGTTGGCATTGTATGGTAGTTAGATTTACCATATGTTGATATTACCATACTATACCATATGGTATTGGGTGGTAACGAAATATATATTGATATTACCACACTATACCATATGGTATTGGGTGGTAACGTAATATATATTGATGTGCCAAATTTTTTCATACCATATGGTATGGTCAATACCAGTCATTACCATATGGTAATGACTGGTAATAACTGACAAATTTTTTTATGTCTGAAAAATATCAAAGTGGATATCATTTTGAAGAGCACAATTAATCTGATCTAACTGTGCAAAAAAAATTAAATTCCGACTAAAAACGAGTGAGAAATCGTCCGTTAAAGATTAAGAGAAGGAAAATTAAAGGTTGTTTGAGGAGAGAGAAGGCGCTGATGTGATCTGGTCAGCGTCAGCGCGTCAGAGACATCATTAAATAGGGGTGCAATTTTACCTTAGTGCCCCTCCGTATTTTTTTTAAATAAAAAGAAAAAGCTGACACGTGGGGGCCAGGGGAAGGGGTTACTGATGGTTACTGAGGTATTGGTTACTGAGGGGATCCGCTCCCCATTCATAGAGACATCCAATTGTCAAAATCAATAAAAAAATCCCGCCTCATAATGATAGTCTTGGAGCTCTCCTTGTCCCAACTACTACTACTTCTTCTTATAATATGAGGACAAAATTTGATGAGAGTGAGATGTCACCTTAATAAGTCGTAATCTAGTATGAAAACTAATATAATCATGACAATAGGCCTTCACGACCTTAACTTCACATTTCATCATGCATATATAACTTAATAAATGCATAAATTATCACAATCATAAAATCGTGCACAATTACACACATTCCTCAAATATAATTTACATGTTCAATTTCACAATCTATCAATAAAAAACACATTAATTCGGGTCTATCAGGCACCCCACCATTACTCTTCTCATTCTCTCCCTACTCTGCCTCCTCGATGTCTAGGCTTCTCCCCTACTCTGACCTAGGGCACCGGTGTATATCTTCCAATTAATGTGGCCTCTTGCTACGCAGTAATGAGGCTCTTGCCTCAAAAGTCAAAACAATGTGACCTCTTATCATCATTAATGAGCCTTTCATGCCTCTCCCTTTACATTCTCAATCAGTCATCATTATTATTATAAAATAAGAGTCCCTTCATGCGTCCTACACAACATGTCTTTAGACCATCTCCATCCCTGCAATAGATTAGCCATTTCATAAATGGACCCCACATCCACATCATCAAATTTAGCAACTATTCAATTCAACCATTTCAAACCACCTACATCCCTGCAATAGGTTAGCAATTGCAATTGATGGGACCTACTACATATTCTTTTCCTTAACAATACATTTGCATAATAGATAATAGACTTTTGAAAATTCAATAAACACAAAATACATAGCATACACCAAATAGAAATAAAGAAAAATTACATAATGAAATACAAAAAATGCAAAACAAAATACAAAAATTCAAAATGAAAGTAAAAAAAAATACTAGACTACTTGTCATCGTCCTCTCCTCCAAATCGATTCCAAATCTCTTCAACTATACATCTTTGTATTAAGTTTTCATGTTCAATATAATTAACATATAATTTATGATTTTAATTTATTAACAACTTATAAGCACAAGAATTGTTAAGTTTAACATTTTATGTGTACAAAGTGGATAGAAAAGAAAGAAAGAAAAAAGAAAGAATTTGAGTGCATGAATGTGTGGGTCCCAATTGCTTATGTGGCATTGCAAAGAGGATTGCTTATTTAGCAATCTTGCTAAATAAGAAAGAAGTGCTACATCCTTGCAATTGCTTAAAGCTATTGCCACATAGGATTCCACCCAATAAGCAATAGCAATAAGCAATTGGATGGAGATGCTCTTACACTACCACACACAAGCATCACATACTCAATTCAATTAACAAGATCATTGATAAACTCCTATAACATCAATACATCATCCATGGTAACACAATTCATACTACCATACTCATTCACATTCCATTCAAGATTCTTGTATTTGGGCCGCTTCTTGACTCAAATACCATGCTTATACTAGTTACGCTACTAGGTTAGGAATTACTCACAGTTTTATCATTACTCAAAGGGTAAATGCAATTAAATAGCCAAATCTTTCATCTTAAACAAAATAATATCCAAACATTTACGAAAACAATTTAATAACCAAACCTTCAACTTTCCGTCTGATTGACTGTTAGTTGACTTTGACGTGGTCTGTTCATGCTAATGTGGCTAAAAAAAAGTATTTAACTGTGCCACATAGACAAACCTTAAATTTAATTATTTTTATTATTTACAATAAT